TGATTAGATAGAGCAAAACCGACATAGATGTCATGGGCTCGATTTCTGAGACACGTTTAATGGCGTAAACCACCTGTTGATATTTTCACTGCCAACTGAGATACGGAGTCTTTTTGAATTTGTTACCATTTGGAAAATTGCCCATAACTTTTTTATTTCGCGAAATAATAAAATTCTGTAAAGACGTTCTTAAGGCACTTTTTTAAGCACAATCCAGTGGCGTAGTCAGTTTTTTTCTATACTTTCTCTTTTTATCAGAAATAATAAAAAATATAATTTTTTAAATGGAAATCATAGTTGGCTATGAACCTAAAAAAATGCTGGCGTTTAACCATTTCGAACGATATAAAGTTATGGGTACCTATTTCTAAGAATGAGAATAATATTAGGTTTTTCATCTTTGTATCGAAGCGTGCCTTAATTTTGTGTTGACCTAGTTGCCTAATTATTTTTTATCGCAATTTAATATTCTATATTGTTTTTTTCTTATTAATTAATTCTATATTCTATATTTTATTATTTCTGACAAAAAGAGCAAGCACAGAAAAAAAAACTCACTACGCCAATGGACTGTGCTTAAAAAAGTGCGTTAAGAACGTCTTTCCAGAATTTTAATATTCCGCGAAATAAAAAAGTTATGGGCAATTTTCAAAATGGTAAAAAAATCAAAAAGACCCCGTATCTCAGTTGGCAGTGAAAATATCAACAGGTGGTTTATGCCATTAAACGTGTCTGAGAAATCGAGACCATGACATCTATGTCGGTTTTGTTCTGCCTAGTCAGGAAATAGGTTTTCTCTGTTAAAACAGATCAATTCCGACCACCCTGTAGATTTTAAATTATTAACTCAATAATCTATCAACGCATGAAGCAAAAGTATAAATTTAGAATTTTAAATATAAAAATGAGTCTTTCTTTTCTATAAAATAAAATATTATTTGAAGATCAAATTCTCCAAATTATTCCAATATTTTATATATGACAGATATGTTCCTTTTTTATATATATATATATATATATATATATATATATATATATATATATATATATATATATATATATATATAAACTCAAATTATGTAAATTTAGATGTAAAAAATTTACATTTCGAATTATAATACAGGTACAGATTGAAAATCTTCATTGTAAAACATCTTGTATTTGAAGGGGATTTTAAATATATAGACAACCATAAATTAAAATATTTAAAGTTACAAAATAAATCTAGTTTATTTTTAAAATATTTTGTTTTTTGATTATGTTCGGAATGTTTTCTCCTTGCATTTATAAAAGCTAACTGGATTTTTGAGAATAGTGCCATAAACATTTTAAAACTTAAACGATATAAAGTTATAAAATATAAATTCTACGCTGCTCGCTGTTTAAAATTTGGTAAATCATTTATTTTCCAATTTTTTAAAACCGTTAAAGATAAATAAAATTTCAAAATAGTTAAATTAATGTTCTAATTTTAGAAAGTGCGCTTGCTACTTCTTAAAAAATTAAATTTAATTCTTTAAAAAATATGTTTTCTAATGCCGGGTCCAGACCAAGGCAACAAAAAGTAAACACGATTTTGAGACAAATTCAAGATAAACTTGAGACAAATTGTCCACACCAAAAGGACAAAAGTACAACAAAGTGAAAAGTTTAGTTGTTGCGAATGAGTTTTATTAACCATGTGTGTGATTTCACTGGTCTCCTACTGTAGGCAGCACGCGCCATCCATACTGCGCCGACAACTTATCGTAAAATATACAACAAAACCTAGACACTTTGTTACCGACTCGAGACGAGACATTGAAAAGTCTCCGAATTTTGAAACAAAACAAAAATGAGACAAACATGTCGCAGAAATATTTTGGATTTGTCGCAATTTTGTCGTAAAACATAAATGTTTCTGTCTTGTCGTTGTTTTGTCTGCTTGGTCTGGACCCGGCCTAAAAAAACGTTTGCTGTTTTTGCATTTCATATCGCTTTTTTTCTCAACTTGTTATAATTTTTTTTATATGATACACCTTTTGCTAAAGGTAAAATCAAAATAAAATATTAAATAAACACAAATAAAAGTAATAGCTGACAATATAAATAATATCAATAACAAATTAATATTTCAACCATTTTCTAGAGATTGTGGTTCATTTGTGTTGTGTTATACAGTAGAACTTTCTAATTCGGACACGTGCTAAATCGGACACTCCAGTAGTTCGGCGTTTCTTATCAATCGAACAGTTTTAATATATTTTCCTCCTTATTCCGGATGCCAACAATATTCAAAAGCGAATTACAGTAAAGTCCGCATTTTTCTAATTAAAACGAATTATAACCAGTCGCTGTTGAATGGTTAGATACAGTACATAGTCTTTTCTTTATACTACAGAGTGTCGTATATTGCTAAAAAATAGCAAGAGCCATAGAGATACGAAAAATACCCAAGACTCTTGCTGAAAAAATGTAATATATTACAATTCATCATTTCAGATATGAAAAATTCAGAAATAAAATACGTACGAGTTTTAGAGTGAAACCATACCAAGGACCATGTACAATATAAAAAAAAATTAAATGAGCATAAGAAATAGAATTTGTTTCTGGTTTGATTGTTTGTTCTATTAACCCTAAGTAAGCCAGAGACAAACTGAAGAGAAAAACGTAACAACGAGACATTGGAAACAAAAATAAGAAATGATGACTTAAGTGAAACAAATTATGACAAAATGTTGGGTTTAAAATGAACTAAAAGAGAAGGCTGTTGATGCATCAAAATCGAGAAATAAGCAGATAAAAATCAATTCGTGTTTTAAAAACCTTCAAATTAAATATTAATTTCACATTTGCTTACACTTCTAAGTAAGTATCAGTGGCAGTTTAACCCTCAAAGCACCCAAGGTCAAAGGCCCCCCAAAAAAATCAGAAGAAAATTAGGAAAAACCTATTTAAATTAACTTTTTAACTTTTTTTCATCCTAAGATATTCTAAGCTATTCCCAAAAACCATCAACTTGTCCAATTTTCGCTGCAAAACATTTTATTTTACCCATTTTCTTTACTGCCGGTCAAAATTTCATTTTGTCCTTCGTTCCCGCTATGTTTTGCACGTATTAAACTCCAAATGCCGCGGCTCTTAACGCCAACGAGGAACGGTATACTACGTGTAGAAAATATAACGGGTTAAAGTGCGATAGATATAGTTTATATTGGCCATTGACCGCGTCATTCATAAAAGAATTTCAGTCGTTGGAAAAATTTCGCAGTTTGGGCAGTTTGGGTGTTATAAAAACTCAAATTATAAAACAACCTAGGGTTTTGTATCGTTTATCGCGTATAATGTTTGGTTTAATAAATATAAAGCAATATTCAAATTTTTAATATTGAAAGAAATCCCATCTAGTTTGAGCTGTAGCCCGAAATTTGTGTAGGTAATAATTCATAATTTTCTGGTTATGGACAATTGATGAACTGTGGTTGACTGATTCTGGAATAGATATTTTAAAATAGACAACATGGTGTTTAGTTTATGAAATTGTGTGGTTAAACGAAAACAATTGCTTAAATTTCGAAAAACGTTTAGAGAAAAAACGCCGCATTGACTTAAAATATAAAAAAATGTGAAATAAAACTTTTAGAATTGTGTGTGTGTTTTAAATCCTACCGTGGAAAATTTGTGTAAAGAACATTGACTGGATTTTTGTGAAATGACACTGTTTAAACATGTAAGGGTAGGTTTCATTTTAACAGAATTTATATTTATTTTTAGATTTGTTTTCCTTTAACCAAACGTACAAGTACCTTGTAAGAAACCAATTAAATTTAGGCGCGTACGAGGGCGCGTCTTAAAAAAAATCGACGCGATATTTTTAGATATTGACCCCCTACAATAATGACCACGAGCCGCCACTGGTAAGTATATTAATTTTTATGTAATAATAAGTAAGTTTAATAATTTTTATGTAAGTAAGTAATATGTATTAAGGTGCACATACTTACTTAATATGGATATTGCAGTAAGTGGTGAGTTATTTTATGAGTATGTCCTAAGTTTAAACGTACAATAACGTTTTAATGGGTTTTATAAAAAGTTTGGCGTCTTGGTTTAAATAAAATAGTGTTTAAATTTTGAGTTTGGGTTGGAAACAAAGAAGTATGAAAGAATATCATTATAAAAATATCCCTCCAGTAATCCGGATACCTCATTAATTCGGTCATACCTGTTCCGATATGTGCCCAAATTATCGAAGTTCTACTGTATTTAATATTTTATTTACAGATAAATATCTTTAAAAAGGACGAGCTAAACAAAAATACTTAAGAGCTTTTATCTATCATTATTACTCTAAATTGAAAATATCATTATTTTTTGCGTAACTTTTTTATAAATGTCGGACTATTATTATATTCCTAGCTTATCGCATATAATATTATTTATTCGATACTGATTAGCTATATTCATTTTCCAAGAGTGGATAACAAGCACTGTATCGTCTTTAACTTATTAATTTTACTCGCTTGTGTATGAAAGCTTAAAAATACGTTTAAATGTGAATGAAACATTAAAAATATCATAAATTGTTGGTCGATTTTTAAATGTTATTTAAACGACATATTGAAACAAGCAATAACATATTTATTTGAAGTTTTTTTTAAAGAGGATGTTATAAAACATGACAGTATAATTTGATTTTTATTATGTTTAGAGCGATCGAACAGTAATCAAAGAACAAAATATTTATTACTAAAATATTGAACGTTTAATTTATTGAACAAAATTTAAATAGACGTTGTATTGTCCTGCATGGTGAAGTAATAATGAACTTGATACACTCAACAAGTTTTCGTAATATAAATTTCAAACTAATTTCATACAATGCACTAGTTTTACTTTAATTAGTTGTTGTTTCTCTTTCTATTCTCATATCAATTATACTTCATATTAAACACCAAAGTTGCAAACTCCTGTTGTCTGGAACAAATTATTAGAGTACATAAATTGAATAACGTTACCTGGAGTAACTCCTTGACGTTACTGTCCACTATCATTAGTGGCTTGTGAATAAGATGAACGACTCCATTTTTCACTGGAATGTTGCCCTTAACGATCTCCGCTAGAACCACTCCTGGCGTGTGCTTTCCGTCTCCGAAAAGAGTGTGAGATTTTACATAATCTGAAAAAGATATTTACAAATATCAGTATTATAAACTGAAAAAAGGTGTAGATTGTAAGTTGTATGGGATGGGGAAGTTAATCAACTTATAGATCTATTGTGTCCGTTTTTTTTAAGTTATAACTCATACAGTATTACAGTCTCACATCTTTGACAAAAGCCAGTATCTCAAGACGGTTTCATAAGAGTTAGTTCTCCATCTTCGATATTAGTTCGATATGTTGCACAGGTGAAATTTTTATTACTTTTCCATTATATAATATTTAATAATTAAAATGACAAAACTAATAGTATAATATTTATTAAATATTTGAATAGCAAAAGAACCTACAAAAATATATTTCCAGTAAACGTTTTAGCAGTGTACAGGGAGTCCCATTTTCGTGTTTTTTATGGAGTTTCTCGTTTAACAGTGAAAATACAAAGATACAGTTTTCACATCACGTGCACTTTTTTTATGAAACTAAAGATGCTACACTTAAACTTGTCCTAGCCCCTTTGGTTTCTGAAATACAGGGCGAATTTGAAAATGTTGCATTTTTCGACCCCCTTCGTATCTTGGTTATAGTCTCGTCGAGTATTTTATGTAGAAACCAGTCGCGGAACTAGTTTTTCGTTGGGAGCTGACATTTTCGGAATATGACTCAAATAGTTTCTTTTAAATGGGACACCCTGTATATAATTTTTTTATTTTAGCTAGATAGCTTTCTAAAAATATGATAATATACTCTATACTTATTTACATAAACAAGTTAAAACATTTTATTAATTATTTCATTAATTTGAAAGGTAAAAAAGTAAAGTTATTGAATTACTAATATCGCTAGGGGTTGATGTTAGAAGGGTAAACATTTTAGTGCCACATAAAAATAAAAAATTAAAATATAAAATATTGTCCAAAAAATAAAAAAAAATTGGGGTGAGCCACCCATATCACTTAGGGGTCTAAAAATATATAATAACCTATTCTCAGACCTACTGAATACACATATAAAATTTCATCAAAATCGGTTAAGCCGTTTCGGAGTAATATTAACAAAAATTTAAAAAAGCTTTATTAAAAAATAGGGGTTGATGGTAGAAGAGTGAAAATTTAGGGTTGTATGTATTTTTTTATTGCCACATCATAAAAAATAAAAATAAAAAATTTTGTCAGAAAAGTAAAAAAAAATTGAGTTGGACTCGGGGTTGGACCACTCTTCATACTTAGGGGTATAAAAAATATATAACAACCTATTCTCAGACCTTCATCAAAATTGGTCAAGCCGTTTCGGAGCCTAACCTAACCTAACCAAAATTTAAAAAACAACTTATTAAAGAATAGGGGTTCATGGTAGAAGGGTGAAAATTTAGGGTTGTATATATATATTTATTGTGCCACATCATAAAAAATAAAAATACAAAATTTTGTCAAAAAAAAAACTTGGACCATCCTTAACACTTAAGTATAATATAAAAAATACATAACAACCTATTCTCAGACCTACTGAATATACATATAAAATTTCATCAAAATAGTAACTAAAACTGTGTAAAAATACAAGAATTTTATAATATTTAAAATTATTTATAGTTGTATTGAATTTGTACTTTTTATAAAAAAAATATAAAAAAATTAAGCTTTGTAAAAAGAAAGTGTTTTGCGATTTATTAATGCTACTAAATAATATTACCAAACTCAAAATTCATTTGAACAACTCAATAATTAATGTTTATTATGTTATAAATTCAAGCCAGTACAAGCCTTTGCAAGCAAAAATATGAGACAACTGCTAATTAGGTTAATTAATGGTGGTCTGTTTATGTTTCAAATATAAACTGAACATAATTCCAATTTAAATAACGGCACAATTACTGTATCCATAATGATACTATAATTTATATAAAATAACAAATCTCTGAATCATACTTTACGTTTCCACTTTATTAACATGAAAGAGATATATTGCACAAAAATATTAAATATAAAATAAAGGAAATGTGTATTAAAATAGACCGGTTAAATTTGTTTTTTTTTCTTGTGGGGACAGCCGAATGAATATAACAACTTAAATAATTTCGGTTTTCTGAATATTACTTTTAATATGCAATTTTGTGGAATGTTTAAAGAGCTTAAAATTGCTTTCGATGCATTTCTTCACACGAGAATGCCATATTTCAGAATATATTCGACAAATGATCTATATATTAGGATCATCAGAGATGTGTTCATAAATTCTGTCAATAGATGAAATTTATAAATTCAAATTCTAACTGATTTTGTAACTTTATATATACGTCTATTCCAAAGCATAGGTATTTCACTTCGCTGATTTGAATCAAAAACATAGAATGTAAAAAATGCCAACTCTCGCAATACAATTCTTCGACTATAAAAAGCTGTGAGATCTCAATAAATCCCTAATATCATGGTCCCATCTCAAGTTTGGTCTTCCGCTACGTCTCTTGATTCCTGATGGGTCCTCCAAGTCAGTTTATTTTATTTAATTTCTCTTTAAGCACTTATTCGACAATTTCATTACAAATTGTTGATGTCAATATTAGACATCTATATTGCTGTAAAAATTATAATGACTTGGCAATTGCACGGCACCATAATTAAAAAAGAATAAGCATTGAAATTACCGCTCACATAAAAACAATTTACACATTTCTTAACTTTTTTATCACACTTTAATCGGTCATACGGACCTGCACAATATTGCACAATATTCAATCGTATCCAACAATAGTTACGAAAGCCATCTCGTCATTTTGAAGAATAACATCAAAAAGTAATGATAATTGAAAAAAAATTGCAAAAAGTTTTTGGCAAGTTCATTTTTGTCTTAAAAATGAATCAAGGCATGTGTTGCAAATAAACAAAATATTTAGGATTCACATGATTCTCACCGAAAAATAATGTTTTAGGAAAATTTCCTCGCGAAATTATTGCACCAGGTTGTTTTAAAGATAACTTAAAAACAAATCTTCGATTAACCCTGTATAATAAGTCAAATACTAAAGTTTATAATAAACTGAGTTTACGAATTAAATTTGATATATTTATATACAGATTTTTAAAAAATCAAGGAAATGAATTGAAAACTTTTTTCCGTGCGATTTTTTTTGCATCTGATTGTATATCAAACATGCTGAGTTTATGAGATTAATTAACTAATGCGGTCTCAAGTTTAATAGGTCTCGTTCAGATGGTATTTAAAAATAATATGTCTGTTATATTATTAGGCGTATTAATTTAGTAGTTGTTCACTTTCTATAGCCTCCTACTATATTCTTGTAGTGGCTATGTAATTGTGTAATCTTGTCTTTGATACACTTCCTCTGCCGAGTTTGAAATGTTCGTTTCTGAAATTTCTAATACCTTCCTTATCTAAGATCTTTGGACAGTTAAGACCTGCTATTTTGTCACACAAAAGGAAGTTTCGGGTCCATAGATAAAGGAAGTAGATCTCTCCCTTTTGCTAAAGCCATCAAATATATAAATTATCTTCTCAGAAGTCTGGTATTTAAAACTATATAAAAATGCTTAAAATATCAATGTTGCAGATTCATTTTAGAGTACTTATACATTTACCGGGCAATTCAAACTTGGCGACTTGGGTTAAGAAAATAAAAATGAAGGTTGATCGAAGGTATTTAAAATTCCATTATCCAATACTACTGTTGTAAATAGTATATTACGCACTAATTAAGCACTATCACACATAAGGCGCATAGCGGCCAGTGCAGTATTTCATAAAAAAAATAAAAGATTAAAAATAAATAGAATCAGCAGCAACTTTCAGATACCGACAATGTTATAATATGTCCTTGTTATAAGATTATTGTGAGACGCACCAACCAAACCAAGCGTTTTTTGTAAACTTTGATTCCCTTAAGCATATAAGCTCTAAATCAGGGATTCCCAAAGTGGTCCATAGAAGTACGATAGAAAAAATATTTTTACCTATATTATACCTACAACCCCAGCATCCTTCAGGCAAAAATTTACGCTGTCGTCGGAAACAACAGCGAATGCAGATTCTGTGGGGAAAATGGAGAAACACCAGAACACCTAATCACTGAGTGCTCCAAGACGACGACCGGTCGTGTCTTGTCGTGGACTTTGGTATGACTGATGTCGAGGATGGAGAGCTGGCCTCTGTGGAGCCGACTCAGATACTGGCTTTGGTTAAAGCCCTATTATGAGTTATAATTCGTTATAACTCAAGAAATGGGGATATACAATAGATCTGGTCGCGGTGATTAACTCCCCGCCTAAACATTTTAGGTTCTACATGTATGTAGCATTTTGGAACCAATTTACTATCTTTATTAAGTTTAAATTGACTACCCTATAATGGCAAAACGGTCAAAATCAATTTTTGTCACTGTGTGAACCCGTGGACATAATATACTAAACTAACCAAAAATGTTTGAGCCAAACTGCGTTTACGTGACTTAAACTCATTTAGCCCAGGGCTGATATCGGACTTAATTTGATTTTAAACCGACTATTTTATTTATTGGTTAGGTTGGTAGAAGCTAAAAAGCTAAGTAGAGGTGTGTAGTTCGTGAACGAGTTAGTTCCCATGAACTATTCCGACCCCGGAACGAAAAGAACTAGTTCCAGGTTTCTCAAAGGACCAGTTCCTCAGGATCTATGCCGAGGGCATATGTAATATATATAATATGCGACGGCGACGGATCGGCCAGCGCGATCATAGCCCGATGCTAGGCGGGAATGAAGAGTGCCAGCCGTATGTTATCGGTACCGGACCGAGAGGAACTATAGGAAATAAATAAAAGACTAGTTTACGTACTGATCGGCCAGCGCGATGCTAGCCTGATGCTAGGCGGGAGTGGATAGTGCGAGCCGTATGCTACCGGTCCCGAACTGACAGGACTGAGAGGAACTAGAGGAACTAATTATAAGACCAGTTCACGGGGATCTATTCAGTCCGGCCTTGTCTATTGCCGCGGCCGGCGTAATTACCGCAGAAAATTTTCGTAGATGC